CACATCCAAGGCTGCAGAAACAGAAACAAAGTGATTTAACTCCTTAATTAACTCTGAATTGAGCAGTGAGACTGCAAGGGCATGATCTATACACCAAAACAGCTTAATTAAGATGAAGTTGTTTTGGTTACTATAGTGTCCCTTTATAATAAAAAAACTTTAAAAAAGTTATAAATTCACAGAAAACAGTCATACAGAACATGACAGGTTCTAAAACATACATATTGCACAATTATCAAAAACTCCTTAGTGGAGGCAGCTTTCCCAAAAGAAACCGCCATACACCCAAGTACATGAAGTAGAATCCCTTGTACCATCGCACATTACACAATATGACAGCCTCGCTCTCTACTCTCACCTGACCAGGTCTCCATTGAGCTGTACGTACAAGCCTTCTTTGCCCTCACTAGCACAGATTTCAAGGGCCGATGTGTCCACTGTGCAGAGAACCACGTGCAGGTCGGGGACCGAGCTGGCCTGATCTGCTGCATAAACATACACACATCCCCTGTTCGGATCCTCCCTCAGCCACTCTCTCTCCCGGGATCCCAGGCAGCTCTTCTGGCTCAGGCAGTTCCTGCTCCCGCTGCGTTTCATGTTCCTCTACAGGAGAAACAATCAAACGAGATACAAAGTAACAGTGATCAGTCTGCACCAGCGTACATGTGTACAATATGTCCCAACTTTCCCTCAAGTCAACACTCCTGGTATTGCTTCAAACCCACATTCCCCCATGTCACACGTGCCCGGTTTAATCTCCCTATCGCTTTCCCCTTGTTCTCTGCAAACAGTATTACCTTATCATATCTCTCCTGTACATTCCTCACCACACATGACCAGTCCACCTTTTCTCATGGGGTTCCTGGTCTAATGCCTCTAAAATGACCTCTACTTTCACAATGCATTCCCCATCAACTTGTCCATTAGTTTGACCTACTCAGTATCAGGTCCTCTGATTAGAAGGATTAGCAAACCATACACATTTTATTCTTTCTGGTGATTACAGATTTCACGCTAACCCAAGTTAATGCCACCTTGAGTATTGCCTGTCCACTAGCAGTGGTATTAAAAGTAATGTATCTGTGATTTCCTGAGCAGTTGCTCCACAAACGCTGGAAAGCTACTTTGGTCACAACTAATCTATTCTAAGGAAATATAATTAGTCTTCACTCTCCCTGTATCTCCCATCATTCCATTATCTTGCTGTTGGCGGACAGTGGCATCCCACATATTTCAGACATACGTTTGCAAATGCAAAGCCAGCCTAAATGGAGACTCAATCATGGGAAACATAATGCATGCTCTGCAACTACTTGAATATTTATCAAACATTTAAGTATTAAACTGCCCCCTCCGTGCCCTCGGCCCACCCTCACTGCCCCCACCGCCCCCCTCACTGCCCCCTCCGTGCCCACGGCCCCCCACCTTGCTCAGGGCCCCCTCACTGCCCCCAC